TGATCACTTGCAAAATAAATGGTCTGATTAGCTAGGACTATGTAATTGGATACAATTTAACTGCATGTACTACCAGACAGAGAAAGGAATATAAAAAGTTAAACCAAAGACTACTATGGGGAGATAGAAAGGTTAACAGTGTCTAACTGCCTAGACCAAACAGGTAAAGTTCCAATTAATTATGATTCCTACAGGATTCAAAGGTGCTTTGAAGACAGCAGGCACTGACAGTATTTGTTTGGGCTATGAAGATGTACGGAACCAGGGAACAATCAAATCCATGGTACAGGCATTATAAAAGTTATCTGTTGTCTTTCTAGTCTTTCTGGCTTTTGTCTCCAAGTGTGAGCTAGAAAATTCTTTATGTAGGAATTAAAGGTACCAGCAACAACCGATGGGACTCCCCAGTGGTACAACAAATGAGTTATCTGTCCTGTGGGCTTTTCTCTCTTCCAGTGAAATGTCACATACACTTACTGGCCTGATTTACACAGAAAAGATACCACCACCTAAAACAAAACAAAACAAAACAAAACAAAAAAACAACCACAAAAAACACATACACCTCCAAAAAAGCCCAGCCCAAACCAAAAGAAAACAGAACAAATAACAACCAACCTGGAACCCTTCACTGTATAAAAATAAGAGCAATAAAAATCCAAGTTCTCTACTGGAATCAAAGGTCATGGAGCTGTGAGTGAAGCACCTCTTCATTTCTTGTTTTTCAATAGACTTTGTCTTAAGCACCTTTGCTTCTGTGAAAGCAAAGTAATCACTGTTGAATGAACTGTAACAGCTCACCCAACCATAATGATTACAAGAACCAGCCTCTTAACAAACCAGTTTTGTTTAATGACATAAGCTGAGTACAGCTACATCAAAATCAGAGTATTCTGCCCATTACCAGAAGTCTGAGACTTGAAGTATCTTTAAGAAAGCAATTTGGGGATGAAAAATTATACCATATATTAAGTAACAGAACTAAATAACATGCCTGGATATCATGTTTGCTTTGTGTCCTTTTAAAAATTTCTTTGGCTCCTCAACCATTTAAAGAAAATACCACATCTAGCTTCATGGATTTCAAATAAAAGCAAACAAATGTTATGTGCTGAACAAGATTTAGAAGTGCAAGATTTCTGGGACTGGAAGAATTTAATTCTCACTGAGACAATGTTGCCATGTAAAATTACTTTCTCATGTGCCAGATCACCAATATCCAAGTATCAAAAGGAACTTTGACACAGAGGAAAAAAAAAAAGTATCTCACAGATGGTCACAAAACAGTATGTAAAACTACCTTGACCTTATAATTTTCTTAGTGGATTTCATTTAAAAAGTGAAAAGAAGATAATACTGAGAGATCTCTAGTTACAGAGTCAGACTTGCTGGGGTTGGAAGGGACCTTGAAAGATGATCTTGTCCAACCCCCCTGCTACTGCAGGGTCACCTACAGCAGATCACACAGGAACACATCCAGATGGGTCTTGAATGTCTCCAGAGAAGGAGGCTCCACAACCTCACTGGGCAACCTGTTCCAGTGCTCTGTTACTCTCACAGAAAATAATTTTCTTCCTTAGGTTTAGCTTGAACCTCCTATGCTCCAGCTTGTGCCCGTTGCCCCTTGTCCTGTCACTGGACACTGCAGAAAAGAGACTGGACTCTCCTCCTGACACACACCCTTTAGATATTTATAAGCATTTATGAGATCCCTTAGTCTCTTCTTCTCCAGGCTGAACAGGCCCTGCAGCTTAAGCTGATTGTGCATCCTTCTGTGTACATCTGCAGCTGGAGAAGTGACATTTCCTCCAGTTCCTTCTCTTTATTAGACACTACTTACAAGCTTAAAGAAAAAAACCCTCACTTATGACATAATTTTCCATACAAGTTACATAGATACGTTATTATTTGACACCTTCTGTTCCCCAGTTCATTGGAATAATGTCCCTTTTAAGCCACCCTTTCACTTCTAAATGTGAAGCAAAAGACTGAAAGGGTACAGAACACTAGGCAGAAAAACCTCAGGTACAAAGAGCATTTTAACTGACATTTGGATCAGCCAGAACCCCTGCACACATTGCAGAATGTCATCCAAATACTTCAGCTGAATCTGTTCTTCCAGTACATAAATTGCAGAAATTAGAAATTCTTTTGTATGGCATTCAGATCTATGTATCCCTTCCTGCCATGAGAGAATAGAGTGCATTGAGTTAAACACTCTCAGATACTTCTTTCAGCTTACCCACTACAGAAGGATGGTAGAATTACTTGCATTTTGCAACATGTAAATTATAAAAAATTAAATACTATCCTTAATCTTAATATCCACTTATAAACCAAGAACATGGTTTTAGTTATATTCAGATACATACATAATCCAATAACTTCCTCCAAGGAAACAGTGAAGGTTCTTTAAGTTCTTACATAACCCCAGCTTGACTCTGAAATATTTCCCTTATTTCTCCAGTATTTCTCACACATGGCAGGGAGATGTGCATATAAGACTGGAACACATAATTGCATGAGCATCTAAGAGTTACTGTGAGAATATATTCTGATTTGTACACATTGCATATATTGGCTCTTGATTTATTTTTAATAGCTAAAGATGCTATTCTCAGCATCCCTCAGCTTATCATTACTTGGTCAGTGTCTGTCTTGGAAGTTAGCCTTGAAAAGAGATTTTAAAAGAAGGAAATAATGAAGAGTTTCAAATTCAGCTGGAAGGCAAGATCAAGTTCTGAGAAGCACAGATAAAAGCAGCAAAGTCCAGATGACTTAGAAGTGGAGGTTTTCACTGTCACCTAAGATACAGGGGGAAAATAGCAACAAATGCATCCAAGAACTTTGAAGCTGAGGCTCACAATGGTGTGTGAGAGCAAGGAGCAGAAAACAGGTGAGGGAAGTAACGAAAGCATTCCAGAACAGGACCTGCCAGAGCAAAGTATGGGTGGGTAGAGGAAGGTAAGCACCTTGGGCAGCTGGCTACAGAGCCCCTGGTTGCTTTGGCTTCACTTGTGTGGATGGAGCAAATCATTTCATGTTCCAGTGGAAGGACATATCAACTCCACACCAACTCAACATGAAGCAGTCATAGAATCATAGATTACCTAGAGTCGGAGGGGACCTGGTTGCTCACATACTATTCCAACAAGGCAAGCATCACACGAAGCTGGGAGAAGCAATGTTCAAAATTAAAAAGGTGATGTTAGGAGAAACTTCTTCACTGAAAAGGGTTATCAAACACTGGAACAAGCTGCCCAGGGAGGTGGTTGAATCACCATCCCTGGCAGTGTTTAAAAGACACATAGATGTGGTGTTTAGGGATATGGCTTATCACCTGACTCAGTAGAGTTAGGTTAATGGTTGGACTTGATCTTAAGAGTCTTTTCCAACCAAAATAGTTCTATGATTCTATGGCTTCTCATGTAAGTTGACAGACAGTGCAATTCACTGCTAGATGATGGGTTCAGAGGAAAAATGGAAAGCTATCGTGAGGAAAAATCCACTCTCCTACTAAACTGATATGCCATCACCTGCAGATGGCTGGAGAATGGAAATATCAGGAGGCATTCCCACGATGTCCAGCCTTAGCTGCTGGTGGCTCCTCCTGGTGGCTGCAGAATATTGGACTTGGTGTTATAAAAGAATAGTCACCTTGTTCTTACACAGAAGTTACCTCTTACTTTCTCTTGAAATGTAGGATGTTTTTTTCCTTAAGAGAATGAGTTTAGTAATTCTCAAAATATTTTTCAATTCACAGTTCAACACATCTGTTGCTAACAACTTGTAAGATTTTAATTTTACTGCTTTTTCAGTTTTGAAATATGAAGGTGAAGTAGCATCCTAGTTGCAGCTGCAGTTACATCTACACAAGTGCTAGAAAAACCTTTCCTTTTCTTTCTAATATATTTAATTACTATTGCAATTGATGCATCACAAGTCCTGACAAATGATGGCATTTAATATTTTTTGTTATATCAGATGTAAGATGATGTGTGATTCAGGATACAAATAGGTTTAAGATTTTTGTCTGTACGTGGACAGAGTTTGTTGTTGGACAGCAGTTGTGCTACTGTCACCTCAACAGTCAGCCCTTCTGCTTCCAAAAGAGAGGGTCTGGATTTCATGCTTTTCACAAATGCACTCTCAATAATCTGAGTAGAGCTGAATAGTCCATAGCTCAATGTTTCATGTAGGAAATCTCTCAGACCTCGTGCATCATCACATAAAGTTTATGCAGTGCAGGCAAGGATAAAATCTGATTCTACAGGGCAGCATCTACTCATGTAGCAACAGGACGAAGGATAATGGCCTTAAACTAGAGCAGGGTAGATTTAGATTAGATATTAGGAAGTTCTTTACTATGAGGGTGGTGAAGCACCGGAGTGGGCTGCCCAGAGAGCTGATGGAGACATCCCTGGAGACATTCAAGGTCAGGCTTGACAAGGCTCTCAGCAACCTGATTTAGTCAAAAGGTTCCCGCACACTGCAGGGGAGGCTGGACTAGATGACCTTTAAAGGTCCCTTCCAACCCCACACATTCCGTGATCTCACATCTGCTCACCACTGCACCTCCCTTTCTCACCTACCATCCTCCTTTTCTACACATCCTCCAACTTTCCCAACAGCAGGTCTCCCACATGAAAGTCTCTCGCTCCACAACGAGGAGTTATATCCCAGGTTATATCCAACTCGGTGCCTGAAGCAGGACCACACAGGAAGGAAGTCTGCGAGCAGAACAGCTCCCCGTGCCGCTGCATCCCAAGGCCTCCCTCCCTTCCTCCCATCCACCTCTGCCTCCCATCGCCTCACGCCGACCTTTCCCCAGGCCCCCTGGCCCACCAGGCTCAGCTTCCATCCCCACTCCCTGCTCCTTCACACCCTCCCGTTCCTCCCACCGCTCCCCAGCGCGCTGCCCCAGCTCTGCCCTCCTGCCGCCCGCTCCCGGTTCCGCCGGATCTTTGCCGCAACATCTCCCGCTGACGATTTCTCTCGCCATGCCCCTTCCTCGCCTGCTCTCTCCCCCGACTCCCAACGCCACCGAGACGCGGACATTCCCCGCGGACAACTCCCTGGAAGCACAGGGTGAG